GACCTTTCATTATGGTATTGAACTATTGATCCATAATAAAAGCAAAAAATTTTGAATTGCTTATTACACGCTCTAATTAAAGAAAACTGAGGAATTGATTATTGACTACATTGATCTATAAATAATAACAGAATGAATGTTGAGCAAAGGGAAAGAGTAGGGATGTCAAAACTCAAAATTATCGAACTTAAGGAACAACAAAACCCGGAATTTTGGGATGGATTTTGGGCAGGGTAAATGGTTATGAGACTTAGTAAGCATTTTTTTTTTTTAAATTACGGGTTTTGGATGGTTATTGTATTAGGGGTATATATACTTGTCCTATTACCCGATCATATATTCGGTCCTATTTAGTTGTCCCCAAATCATTTATACTTTTATAATACTTATATTTTTATTGTTAATATATATGATTTCAAAATATATTATAACATTATATATGATATTAAAAATAAATGCTTGTTATATATATAATAACTATTTACTTTTTAGAATTACATCTTAGAATGGAAACTGATGATATTATCTCTATATTTATGTTATGATATATAATAACTATTTACTTTTTAGAATTACATCTTAGAATGGAAACTGATGATATTATCTCTATATTTATGTTATGATACTGATTTATTTATCATAAAATACACATATGATAAGTTTGTATGGTGATGATTATATATTGTAACATTTAGTATTAGATATTAATGTTAATAGAAATTGAAATTATTTAAAATTTCAAATCGTCTTTTTGATGAGATTGTGATCGGATTTTCAGTAATGAAAATTACAACATTTAACTTTAATTTGAGATCATAAATGGGATACCCGATACACATGGGTATACCTACAATCCCGATGGGTATATACTAATTGGGTACTCGACGGGACGGGATCTGGTTTGGGATATAGTTTTGTAACTGGGTATGGGACTACAATCATTAATATCCGTCCTATTGTCATCCCTAAGAAAGAAAAAGCTTCCTATATTAGAATTATTAATTAACCACATTTTCAAAATATATTGATAATTGATATTTTTCTCATTCAAACGTTACATATAAATAGATATTATTTAGATGATACGATATAAAAAATGTATATATATATTCAAATTGATAACTATAACTATAATTAAAAATAACTATAGATAAAAAAAATATTTTATTTTATTTATATTTGCAAGTCATAGATAGGAACTATTGAGATATTATCGTATTAATATGTATTTATTTTATGTGTATATTTAAAATAATTATAATATTTTACAATGAATGTAAAAATTATTATTTTAAAATAAAATCACAACAATATATTATTTCACATTAATATACGGAAACTTGTCTAATTATATTAACTTCGACAATGATTAAACCTAAACCGCCTTATGAAACCCAATCAACTAGAAAGTTAACTCTTAATTATCAACGTCCCTAGTTCACTTCGTTTTATAACATGGTCAACTCTTGACAGCAAAAGTATAATCATGCATATAATGTCAGTGTCTTTATGAATATTGTATAATTAGCTAATAAATTATTGTATTCAAACAAAAATTCCTGCGAACAAGAGCGTATATGGCAATACAACTCTCCGCTTCTAGTTTGCTATAAATCGTGTATTTTTTAACAAGAGAAGACAAAGGAAAATGCACGTATAGATATCATTATTTTTAAGGTATCGGGTTTATATGATGCTCATATGATGCTCGAGAACATCATATAAAAAGATAGACAGTTCACAGAACTGACTTCAACGTAAAGTACGTCTGTGCACACTAGCATTTTGACATTTTCGTTGTCTTTTAAAATTGCATTTAAATATAAAACTTGTTCTTTCGTAGGCTTTTAATGGGTTCATAAGATATTTATAAGATGTACGTCGTGAACTGTAGCTTTAGTCTTATTATTTTGATCATATGCATGCATGTAGATTATGATGCAGAACACGTAATAAAATTCATAAACACACGTTGAATGACTTATAAGATTACAACTTGATGCAGCTTATGTTTGCATGCATCTACTTTATTATTGTACAGGAAAACAGATCATTGTCCGTTTTGGACATTCTTAAGGAATATAGCCACCATGACCACCGCCTTCTCCACTCCCACTACCACCTCCATATCCACCTGCTCCATGCTCACCTCCTGCACTACCACCGCCTCCTCCTCCTCCTGAACCACCTCCACCACCATATCCACCATACGATCCCCCGGCACCCCCTCCAGCTCCGCCTCCACTACCATATCCACTTCCTCCTGCTCCTCCTATGCCAGCTCCTCCTCCGCCGCCACCACCATGGCCGCCTCCACCTCCACCACCAACTCCTCCAGCTCCACCATATCCACCGCCATTCCCACCTCCTTCTCCTCCACCATAACCCCCACCGTGTGCTCCAGCTCCTCCACCACCACCACCTCCTGTACCACCACCTCCACCTCCACCTCCGAGTGCTCCACCGCCATGCCCACCACCAATCCCTCCTCCTTCTCCTCCACCATAACCCCCACCGTGTTCTCCAACTCCTCCACCACCACCTCCTCCGGTACCACCACCTCCACCTCCACCTCCGAGTGCTCCACCACCATGTCCACCACCAATCCCTCCTCCTTCTCCTCCACCATAACCCCCATCGTGTTCTCCAACTCCTCCACCACCACCTCCTCCGGTACCACCACCTCCACCTCCACCTCCGAGTGCTCCACCGCCATGTCCACCACCAATCCCTCCTCCTTCTCCTCCACCATAACCCCCACCGTGTTCTCCAACTCCTCCACCACCACCTCCTCCGGTACCACCACCTCCACCTCCGAGTGCTCCACCACCATGTCCACCACCAATCCCTCCTCCTTCTCCTCCACCATAACCCCCACCGTGTTCTCCAACTCCTCCACCACCACCTCCTCCGGTACCACCACCTCCACCTCCACCTCCAAGAGCTCCACCACCATGTCCACCACCACTCCCACCTCCTTCTCCTCCACCATAACCAGCACCTGCCTCTCCTCCTCCTCCTCCACCGCCTCCCCCAATACCACCACCTCCACCTCCACCTCCTGCCGCTCCACCACCATACCCCGCACCACCACCTTTTCCAGCTCCACCTCCATATCCAGTACCATGTCCTCCTTCTGCCCCAATACCACCACCACCTCCACCGCCACTACCCCCTCCACCACCACCACCTCCTGCTAAACCACCATGAGAGTAAGGAATGCTCTCTTCTATAGTCAAGAGAGCTCTAGTCGCGGCACATATGCCCAAACCTAGTAACACCAAGAAAACAACACTTGAAACTTTGTGAAGAACCATGGTGAATAGGAGTGTGAGCTTTTGATGATTTTGATGAAGTTGGTTGCATATATATAGGCAATGGCTATGATTTTCAGGAGCAATACTTCAAGTGGCGGGCCTAACCCGCACATGCAAGAGTAATCCTTCACTTAGTGGTCCAGCAGAAATACCAAACTAAAGTGGTGTGCTTTTGCTGTTTCCCACATATTTGATGTTATCTACCATAACAATTTTTTCAACACATTTCTGTCAAATTGTAGTTAATGTTTTTATATAGGACTTCTTTTAAAGACAAAAATAAAAATAAAAATAAAAAACCTCAATGCAAGAAAGTAACTATAGTGTAAGACAAAAGAAACAGGCTTAACCCATAACAAAACAAAACGAAACTACAAGAGCTAGCCACAACCCCTAAGAGAGGACGGAGTGGCGAACAGGTTGAAGGAATTTAGGGGAGATTTAATAGGGTTTATATATGAAATCGGGTTTATTAAATAGGGTCGGGTTGAAGGAATTTCGGGTTTATATTGTTGTTTTTAGTTGGGATTGGGTTAACCCGATTAACCCTTTTAAGACTATAATCTAATAAGTTTTTACATGCTCTTTATGTTCATAATGTACGACACCCTTTCGGCTTAAGGAAATAAATTCTCCTTCATGCAAAAGGCCATACGGAAATCAAAAACTCACGCCTTCTTTTTTGTTATCGTGTCTCAATCGAAGCAAAGCAAGATCAGACCCTCGAATTCTTTTTTGTCACCGAAAATCAGAAATACACGAGCTCTCAAGTATCAATTGTGTTCACGCAAGTCATTGTAACAAAATCATAAACCCACGAGTTCTTTGCATAGTTTTTATTGATTTCTTGGTAATATGTTCTGAAATCAAAACTTTTGCCCTAAATTGAATTCTATGAATTCCTGAGAACATGTACTGATGTAACATTTATACGTTTGCTGAATATGTTTCTCTTGAATATGCTCGCTGAATTTCTAAGTGACAAGAAACAATAGACAAAAACAATTTCACCTAATTCCAATTTGCCAAGGACCGAAAAAGACTGGGTCAATCCAACCCACTATTCCAAATGTATCGATTGGATTGGCCCACTAGTGTAAGATCCAATTCAGGATCTTTTGAAGAAAAATTCGTTTGCCAATCAATAATTCACTATCTTAATTAAGAGTGGCCCAAAGAAAGCCACAACCCGTTTTAATGCATTTTGAAAAGCTTGATGCTTAACAATATGCTTCAACAAAATCCTTATCCACAATTCCAGAACCCACTAAGATCAACTCTGCTAGAATTTTGAAAACGATACATAACATATCTATGGTTTAAAAACTCCAATCAACATAATATCTCACAAATTTCTCTCTTGTCTACTCCACAAAAACACAGCTCCATACACAATCAAAGTACAAAATTCGAACAAAATGTTTGCAATTCTAAACAAATTTGTACCAAAGTCACCACAAAGATCTCGCCTCTTTACATTTCACCATTTAACTAATATATTTCATATTCATCAAGCATAAAAAAATACGCTATGAAAGGTGTGGTGGGTATGATGAAACATTTAAAGCATGTTAACGTCTTTAGATTAGATACTGAACTGGTATTGTTTTTACTAAAAATAAACACATTGATAATTGACAAAAAAACAAAGAATCTAACATTAACATATCTAGAGATCACAAAACCAACTTCACTCCATGAATGGCAAGCAAAACACTTCACATGCCTCCATCCATCATATCATTAGATCATATCTCATAACAAAAAAAAAAAACCCTAAAAATCATGCAACCTCTTAAAACCCTAAGCTTACCTTCAACGAAAACTTGAAGAAGAAGCTAATTTACGGGGGATTGGGCGTTCACTTGATCTGCTTAAATTCTTTCTTGGAGGTGAAAGTGATGCCATTTTCTTGCTTCTTTTGTTGTTCACTGCACTCTCACTCTTAATAGCAGCCATGAGTATGTCTCTTCTTGAAGCAGGCATTGTCTTATTACAATGCTTCAAAGCCTCAATTTTTGCATAATTTTCAACTTCTTTGTTTCTTGGTCTCTTGTAAGATGGTTTCTCCAAAAGCTTTAGTTGACTAGTCCTTGAAGCAAAAACCACTTCTGTACACCACAATATCATCATATGTTACTCATTTAATCTTTCACCAAATTCACAAAACAAACAATAATAATAATAATAATAACTCAGACTATATTATTACCTGATGTTTCATCATCAGAAGAATCAACTCCAGGAGATCTTGGTGGTGTTGAAGGAGAAAAGATGTCTTCAATTTCAAATGTGGTTGTGGTTTTTCTTCTGTTGGGATCATTTTCAGGATTTGCAGTGTGAATCTTGTTATGACTTGTGGGGGTGACTACCCTACGATTAGAGCCATATTCTTTAAGGGTCAATGGAAGGTTTTCTTTTTTTACATAAATTGGAGTGTTTGGAACCACAGCAACAGATTTGATACTACAATGATCTTTAGCTTCAGGAACTGTAACTTTGTTGTTATCAGTTGATCTGCTACAAGATTCATTGGTGTCATGAGAATGGATGATTGGGGCATCAAGGTTTTCAAGAACGGATTTTGGTGAAGTGTTTGATAAATTTGGATCTAATGAAGGTTTATATGTTTCCATAAAGTTTGAAAACCAAGGTGTGCCTTGTCTTGCATAGAAGAGAATGTATGCTTCCTCTGATAGCACATAAGCTTCAGAAACACTAGTCACCTATCAAAATCATAAAACTTTTAACTCAATTTCCAAATTACAAATTACATGTTTTAAGAAAGAAAAAGTTGAGATATGATGTATTGATGTATACCTTTGAGTCATCAAACTTGCACCAGGTTTCAGGTGCAGAACGAATGTAGCAGTAATAATGACCACAGCTAGATGTATAAGCTGCATGTACCACAACTGCATATAGTTCATATTTCAACTCCTCCTGTATAAAAACAGATATATATGAAGGTAAGGTAAGAACATGTGTATATATTCTTGTTTATATAGATATAATTAAGGAATAGAGCTCACATTATTGCTTTGATTGCCACATGTATAGGGCTGCAAGTCTAACTCAAGAGGAAACTCAACATGTTTGTCTATTTTCTCAACATAAGAGCCATCATTTTTGAATCTTTTTAAATGGAAAGCACAAATAGGAGAAGTTTGATCGAGCATAAGTTGTTTCTCAACAGACACTTTTTCTTTACACTGGTCACATGTAAACTTCATTTCTTCATCTTCAATGTGTTCGACTTTTGTAAAAGACTCAAGGGCAGTTGAAAGACTTTTTGCATCTTCAATCTCCAAGCTTAAGTCAACTGAAGGCTCATAGGTATCAGATATGTGGTTGCAGTTGCAACATCTTAGCTGAAATTTATATAAACAAGAGTGAGAAAAGTAGATAATGGAGTTGAGTAGTTGATATGGGAAAATCAATGGACAAATTCTTACTTTGCTGATAACACGACCTCCAAAGACTTTCTTGACTAAGTTTTCACTTTCTGAGGAGAGAGTAGCATCCTTCACTTTTAAATTGCTGAAAGAACTTTCAAGCCTATCTAGAAAGCATTGCAAGAACTCATGAGCATCTTCTTGTTGATATCTTTGGAAAGATGATGAAAAATCTGATAGTCAACCAGTCAAGAAACACAAATATTGAAAAAACAGGTTGGATGTAATAAATGTTAAACAGGTATGTGTGATTGAAGATAAAAAAATAGATAACAAATGTAATTTGTATGAATTGGAAGGATACAACTCAAGTTGTCAACAAATTTCCATGGAGAGACAACTTTTCCAGTTGATGTTAAAGAAAGTTCAATTTGCTCCCGCAATACACAGATCAAGCAGAACCTTTCATTGTTACCTGCAAGTCCACACTTCAGATATAAATATACCAGCTTTGCAGGTAAATCATATACTCCCTACAGGTCTTTACTATAACAAACAATAATGAAATAAATACAAAAGCTGATTAGGTTGTAGATCTTACAATCACAAGGAGTTGGATGGGGAGATGAAAATAGACCCTGAACAAGTAGCACAGAGTGTGTGAAGCACTGCATAACTGCGTTGAAAAAGCAAGTGTTGCCTAGATTGGCAAGTCCTGCACCCTGTAAGTTCAGAAACTAAATAAGCCAAATTTGAGGAGAGGAATGGGATTTGTTGGATGGAATTTCACACATAGCACTTGATGCAACTGAAGCAAAAGCAATTTTAGAAACTGAATTAACTAGCTTCACTCCAGAAACTAGACCGAGATTTCTCAAACGATGGAGAATTGGTACTAGTCGTGATGTAATATGACCATGAAAGTGCGAACCAATTTAGATAACTTTCGGTGTAAAAGTAGCAATAAATAAGATCGAAGTGACTTAAATAAAACAGTGAATTTCCAAAATATCATGAATATGATAGATAATAATAATAAGCATACCACCATAGACGGCTTCTCATAGACATCTTCGTACCAACTCGAAGAACTTGACGCAACTGAGGGCAACGGCTTGTAGACATCGTTTTCACTTCGATTACACGAAATCCACGCATCGGTCTCATCGGCGAGATCATTAGCGTTATCATCACCAGCCACGGGACTTGAGGGCTCAGTGGGAGCATTAGCTTCCGCACCGGAAAGAGATAGCGCCAGTTCTTCAGAATCTTCGAGCACTTCGGTTGCCATCAAGGGATTTATTTGTGATTCCGGTGGCTTAGAATCCTCCAATTTTTCCTCCTCTTCTTGAGATATTTTATCAAACAACATATGTGCGCTAGCGTGAACATCGACTTTAGTACGACGAGAGCTCAAGTATCGATCTAGGGTTTGTGTAGGCGAACGAGAATCTTTGGGGGAAGAGGATTCAACCGCATCTGCGTATATACTAACTGATTCCGACGGCGGAGCCAAAGTCTCTGCATGATCAGCCATCGGAAAACCCTAGACTGAGACAGAAAATTAGGGCTTTTGAAAGAAACGAATTAGGGTTTGAATTTGGTGGATAGGAAGAGAGGGAAAACTTTGGTGGTAATTAAAATTTGGGGGAAGTTGAAAGTGGTTGAAAGGATTTTCAACACGGTTTTGAGATTTTAAAATGGGAGGGAAAACCAAGCCGCCATTTCCATGGATTTCATTTCACCAATCACCCTTCTAAATTTTTTGAGGCAGAAGAGAGAGAGAGAGAAAGAGCGGTAGAATGCGTACAACAAATTATTGTGCGAGTTATTTCTTACACCATCTCCAACCCATCCCATTTTTTTCCTAAAAAATAAGTAAAAAATAGGATAAATAGTGTTTCATCTCAACCTTACTCCATTTTTTATTTCATTTTTAACCCAAAAAGTATATTCCAAGTATATTCTATTATTCCAACTTAGATAGATTGTCAAACACACCCCTCTACTAATTTAGTTTTAACAAATATATAATTTATATTTTTTTCATTACATTAATATTAAATAAACAATATTATATTTATAATACACTTATAAATAAATATTATACATGCATTTATAAAAATATTACACATACACATTTTTAAATAAATATTATGCATACATTTATATAAATATTAGACATACACACTTTTAAATAAATATTATAAATGCATAGATAACATATTTATGCGTTGGAATAAATTTCCCACAAATGATCAACTAACGCATTTGTTAACTACATGTTTATTAGCATATGATATCGTGTTTGTAAGATATATTTTAACTAAGCTTTTGTAAATACGTTATCGTGTTTCATGATTTTAATATGCATTTCATTTTTTATATGAACGACAAATAAAAATAAATTTTATATTTATGATTAAGTAATATAATTTATTATATTTCATAATATTATAAATATTAAATATTATATTTAAATTAAATCTAATAGATAAAATAAACTAGAAATGTATCTCCATATATGGGGTAATACTATTCATATCTCCAAATATGGGGGAGAAATGGGATAGGGTTGAAGAATAATGGGGGAGAAAATGGAGAAAAAATGACATTTGGGGGTGGGTTGGAGATGCTCTTAGTTCTTACCCCAAAACCTACTCATAAAAATGTTTACTTCATTTTATCCATACTACACTAGTTGTTGTTTTTCTAATATAAAATAGTTGAATTGAAAATAATGTCATGTATAGAAAAAAGTGATCGGTTTTACATGAATAATGCGGAAAAATTCTTACACTCTTAAGGGTGCGTTTGGTGCAGAGAATGGAAATGCAGAGAAAGAGAATTAAGCTGGAGAAAGAGAATTGACTCCCTTATTTGGTAGAACTGAAAATCCACTAGATAAATGTTTTTGATAACCATTTCTCTTGTTTGGTTGTATTAATCAATGAAATGGAAATTAGTATTTTACCTTGTTTATTCATTTTCAAATAACAATTTTTTATAAAAATGCATTATGATATACATCTTAATTAGTCAAAATATGCATCTTTTATGCTTTTTATTTTTTTATTTTTATATTAATTGTTACTAAATAAATTATTTTCTAATCAATTAATATTATTTTTTATACATATTGTTTTGGAAAACATATTTCTAATATAAAGGAATAACTTACAAATAGATTTTAATGATATATGAAAATCATACTATTCAAAAACTATGTCTAATGAAGGATATGCAAAAAAGTATAATTTAATATTTCTAACAACTAAAAAAACATAACTATGTCCAATACAGAATGTGCAAAAAGTCAACTTCGATATTCGTAAAAACTAAAAAAATAAACATAACTTAAAATAACCTAATCATGATATTGATCCATCCCCTATCATTTCTATGTAACAAATCTTTTCTTCTTCTGTCATCTTAAAAAACGCCCGGTCACGAAATTGATCTTTGCTAAACATGTCAATCGCCTTAATTCGTTGTTTGACATTGATATTTGGTATGCGTTGTATATCTTCGATAACTTTATCTATCATATCACATGCTTCCTTATTTTATTGCCTTCCTATATTGTATATTGTTTCATTAGGTTTTTCACCAACCTCCTTGAAAGTCTCTTTCGTTTCTTTCGCAGCTTCCTTATAAGAGCTTTCGGTGTCATCTGTTGGAGGCCTTTTGCGTTTACTATTGCCACGAGCAATTTGTTGCGTCTCTTCAACAATATCTTCCAACCCTTCCACATCAACAGGTGAGTTTCTTTATGTCTCTTCAGTCACATCTTCTCCAAAATCAGTAGCTCCATGACCAGTAGCTCTATCCTTACCAAAGATTTTACATAGGTTATCGAATTGTGGAAATGGTTTATCGCGAAAACATGCAACACCTTTATGACTCTACAAGAACGACACAAAATTAATTGATTACTATTCATTTACAATATGTTTTAATGATGCAAAAAAATACTACAAACATAATCATTATAGTACCTTTATGTACTCATCCCAAACTTCAGCATCAGCGGTAACACAACATTTATCCGTATCCCAGCCGAATCCACTCGTGTTTGTTCCGTATACCATGTCGTGCACGATGTTGAAATGTTTTTTCCATGTCTTCATCCTCGATTTAATATGAGGCTCTGCTTTCAAACCCGAGTTAGGAAGACTTGCATCTAATAATTGTTGCACCGCCTTCAAATAACCGGGTTTGAATCCGTTTTCGGCACCACCATACTTTCCGGATACATGTAGCTCCAACAATACTTCAATCAACTGTGCATCCTCTTCAGTAGTCCATGTGTGTTTGTTTCGCCCTGCCATGCCTGCAAAAAATGTTTACATAATAGATGCTTGAAATAGTAATTCAACCATTAAACATAATATTTATCACACCACAATGAATACAAAATATTATACAACAATCCTAATAGCCCTTGTTTAGGGTTGTATAACTCAGTCATAACTTAACCAAATAAGCTATTTTTTAATTCTAAAACGTAGACAAGACAGAGGACTACAATTAGGAAAAAAATCGCCTAATTCCGAGCTCGTATGAGACTTTTATGATGGTTCAAAGTTTGACAAAAATTATAAAAAATGTTGTAACAATGTACAACAGTTGTAACAGCCCCTGTTTAAGGCTTTATAACTCATTCATATCTTAACCAATTAAGTTGTTTTATTATTCTAAAGCGTAGACAACACAGAGGACTACAATTTGAAGAAAAAAAAATCGCCTAATTCCGAGCTCGTATGAGACTTTTATGATGGTTCAAAGCTTGACAAAAATTATAAAAAATGTTGTAACAATGTACAACAGTTGTAACAGCCCCTGTTTAAGGCTATATAACTCATCCATATCTTAACCAATTAAGCTTTTTTATTATTCTAAAACGTAGACAAACACAGAGGACTACAATTTGAAAAAAAATCGCCTAATTCCGAGCTCGTATGAGACTTTTATGATGGTTCAAAGTTTGACAAAAATTATAAAAACTGTTGTAACAATGTACAACAGTCCTAACAGCCCCTGTTTAAGGGTGTGTAACTCAGTCATATCTTAACCAATTAAGTTGTTTTTTGAGCCTACATTGTAGCCAATATAGATGACTACAATTAGAGAAAACAATATGCTCATTCCGAGCTAGTATGAAGATTTTATTGTTATTCAAAGTAGGGTAAAAATTCCCCAAAAAAAATCTGCAACAGTAAAACAACTTTCCATTGTACATACATAACCTGTTAACAAATTGCAATGAATGAAAGGATTCGTTGCTTTCTTTTTGACAGTCAACACTTATCTATTGACACACAATTGCTTGTAACATAGCGAGAATCAATTTTAACATCAAAAACCTTATACAAACTTGTATAAAGAATCAATTCGTAGCAAGTTAACAAATTTTAAAAACAGATAGGAAGATTACCTTGATTGGAAGATGACATTTCCAAAATCGGCTAAGAAGGGGCTACAAAGAAGGCATGAATCAAGTAACACAACAGTCGTGAATGATTTTTCCATATGTATCGGCTTATGTAGGGCAAACGAGATTGAATATGTTCACTTACGTGGGCCGATTGCAAATGGAACTTCCAAGCTGAAACTATGATTCAATGGTGTTCTCTTCTTCTTCAAACCACCAAAACTCCACCAAAAGCTCAATAATCACAATAAGAGGCTAGGGTTGGGGTTTTTTGAGTTTAGGGACGGATGAGGCTGTTTAGGAACCCTAAAATGAGGTTTATGGGGGTTTAAATACGAGGGAACCCCTAAAAGATCATAGGCTTGGAGTCACACCCCCGACCGAGGTGACGGAACACACCGGGCTATGCGACTAAGTTCATGGATCACAGGTAAACTGAATATATAGCACAAGTACAACAATAAACAAAGTAGCGTTCCAGATCCATCTTGATATTTGAATACAAGGTTTTTTTACAGATAATAATAGTATATGAACTGCCTTAACAGATTGGTATATAATACAACATCAAGTAAACTAGGCCACCTATAATCCAATCCGTCTTGAATGTCTGTTTAGTGATTTCCTGAGAATACATGTAGTTTTGATGTTCAACGCAAGGTTGGTGAGAGTTACAGGTTTTCTGCCGACGGCAGTAATGATACTTTGAAAATCGTTCAAAAAGTATTTTCTTTATAAGCAAACCATATTTAAATAAACTTTGACAACCAAAAGGTGTCTTGGTATAAGTAAGTAAATGCTATAAATGGTTTTGAAAGAATCAAGTTTATGAGTTGTAGTAAGAAAGAGAGAGAAAGAGAGAGAGAGAGAGAGAGAGAGAGAGAGATAGAGAGAGAGAGAGAGAAAAAAAAAATTGAGTTAATTTTATAGTGAGTTATAAACCGAGCTATGTGACTAAATGTACCCTGACCTTGATATAACGCTTCATTGGATGTCATGGTAATGATCGTAGACACTTATCACCCGCTTCGATTGATTGGCCAAGGTTGTAGCTAGCAGCCGCAGGTGGGGATGTCAACCCCGTATAGATCTATACATATGTATCTCGCTCCGAAGATTAACGGTTATAGTGGTGTAGGTATGCTAAGTGTTTAGAGTGATCTAATGAATATTGTCTCACTAAAAAGCCCTTAACTAAATAGTATGTGAAGAGCTCTCAGCCCTAACTTAATTGTGATTAAGTCACGAGGCATAATGAATTTCATTTTATAAAGTTTATAAAAGTTGAGTATGCTTGGCATGTATGTAAAAGTGTAATGTACTCGCTTTTATAAAAATGAATGTTTCAAAGTAATGAACATATGTACATGTATAAACGTTGTGT